CGAGCAGCTGCGTGGTGCTTAGCTGCTGGCTGGGGCTAAACCACGACAGAAGTCCTTTCCAATATTAATGATTCTTAGTTTTTTCTTTCATTAGAAATAATCCAGCCATGAAGCCAGGAAGCATGAAATTGCTACTCTCCCCTTAATTGGTTTAGTGGTGGACTTGGCAATGTTAGGTTAATGGTTGGACTGAATGATCTGAAAGGTCTTTTCCAACCTAAATGATTCTATGATTCTATGTTTCTATACTTCTCTGAATATCAAGTCTGCGGGCCAGCTTGTAGTAGGACTGCAGGTAGCCACCAGCATGTTAATTGTAAGTGCCCAAAACAGTCTTAGCCTTTTCTGAGATAGTGCTACATAAGCATTGTAGCTTGAAATGAAAGTGCTTGGTTGGTTCCTGAATATGCACTAGCAAAGTGCCATGCTTTTTGCTAGGTTCCTCTGTTGCAGTACTAGACCTTTTAACTGGTTCCTGTAATCACAATGTGAGAACTTACTGGTGATTGAAAAGGAAGACAGGGTTGAATGTTAAGCAACAGTTACAAGGCATTTAACAGGCAGATTTACTTCTCTTCTCGTGGGAATCTTTAAGGATTGCTAAATCTATATGTGAACCAAAGTGATTTGGTCACTGAAGTGTAGAGTTAAGAAAGCCAGGGGATATGCCCTTATGTAATTCAGCCTGCGTAATTACAGGGATATATGAAAAAGAATATGGAAAATGTTGAAGCTCAGGAATGCTTGATGTAAGCACCTAAGGAACTCCTGCGGGCTCTTGAGATTAGGAAGTGTTTCATTAAAAAAAAAAAAATATCCTATTGATGCTTGGGAGGATCTGTTATAATGTGACAGACTGAAAGACTGCTATGGATAAGCAGTTTCTTTAGCAAGCCACAGGATGACTTCAACAGTTATACAGTAGGACCTACTAATATATTAATGCCTCTGTGGTTATTCTTCTTGTTTTGCTACTGCTGATGCTAATGCTGTAGTAATATTGCGGTATTGTCATAAATTATTTACACCCAGAGATCTTCAGACAAGTTAATTTATGAATGAAATTGTGAGGAGGATGGTTTTGTGTTTGAAAGACTTGACAGAGAATCAAGAAAGCTATGATAGATTTGACACATGGATTTGCCACGGATATCTTTTGGTGAGATGTTCAATTACGTTCTCTTTCAGTCCTTAGGTTTCTTTAAAGACAGGATTATTACATTTCTCTTGCTTTTTGTTTGCTGTATCTGTTTGTATTCCTTAGCGCATTTAAGATATGTATGACTTCTAGTGTGCAAGGGATCTAAACTTAGTTGGAGGCTTTGCCTTTGTTATATATTTTTTAATTTTTTTGAAGTCTGTGCACATATCAAAATGATTTAAGCTAAACTGTAATTAGCATGTAGTGTTAACATGTGCTGTTAGGAAGATCAGAATATCTAATTGAAATTTAGTGTAATACAAGGTTGCTGAAGCTTGTACTTCTGTGAGTTCTCCTGAAATTAGATCGATCACAAAAGATCCCAGGACACAGGATGCATTTACTGGTTGTTACACACAGTCTAAAGCAGCAGCAAATATGTTTTTCTGACTTCTTTTATGTTGACACAAAGTTAATGTTAAAAAACGCAGCAGAGCATTTCTGTTTTTAACTGAGGAGGTTATAGTGTCAGAAAATTCTGGCTTTAATAGACTTGAATGAGCTTAATAGACTTCACTGAGCAGAACAGAAATAAGTAGCAGGCTGAATCAGATCTTGATGCATGGCTGGAAGCGCATAGTGAGAGATTAGTTATGTATGCTGAGCTAAAATGGGTTCATTCAAGGCATCGTATGAGAATAAATCACATCAGATCCATGTCTAGGTTACAGCTAGAGTAATCGCATTAAGAATGTCTATACAGTAATGCCAGAGAGATCAGAGTCTGATCCAAAAGGTTTACCATTGGGAACATGATTTTAATGTCTGGCCACGGTTTTGATAGTTCAGTTCATAATTAAAAGCTAATTCATCTCACCTTTTATTTGGCTTACTCTTTGCAGTAAAAATCCCAGGACAAAATTTCAATTTGGTGTACATATGGATAGCTCTGTTGCATTAAATGGAACAACATTGATTTAAATCAGGTGAGGACCAGTCCTTTCATCTACTAAAGCAACATGAAAACCAGCTTAGTGTTGCATGGCAAAGCTGGATCTGATTCACTGTTAAAACAGATTTATTCTGTTTATACACTGGAGAGCAGAGTTGCATCCCGAGTCATCCCTTGTCTTCCTTCCATTGTGATTTCATAGGTGATCCATGAGCTAGTTAGATGTTGTGAAAAAATACTAAAATTTCAAGGGAGATAAAGCAATAATTCAGAGTCATTTAGCTGTTATTGGAGAAACTGAAAAAATTTTCTTTCCTCAAAAAAAAAAAAAAGAGGCAACAAGGGAAAACCTCTTCACAGTCACTTCTAGATGATCTGATGGTAGGTGGCGAAGGAGAGAATATATTCATTGTGGAAGAACCTTTTGGCCATGGTTAGGGATTAGAGACCTGTTGGCTTTGTGCTGCCTATCTAGGGACAAGTAAGGATGATTGCTTCCCAGGGAAGCTGAGTTGTCTCTACACAATACTGTGTATAACTTTCCTACTTTGAGGACACAATACTGTGTACAACTCTTCTACTTTCAGGATGTCTGTTTTACCTACATGAAGATTTACCATCTTCTAAATTAAAACTCTCCTTCCCTGAAAACACAGAGAGGAAGAAGAGATACACACATTCTACCTGGCAGTGCAAACCATCCACCCTGAGACCAGTCTCCTCACACTGACTTTTTCTTAACCCATTGCTGGCTGTTCCTGCAAATATGGAAATACTTTCCCTGAAGAATGGCTTGAATGAGCAAATCAGGAGCTGTGAATCTATGTTTTTGTTCCAGTGCTTCAGGTTTTTCTAAGCTTTCCATTACATTCTTTCCTCTTAAACAGCTCTCTGGAGTTTGGTCAAGGGACCCAGAATTGCTGGAAGAACCATTTTTTTCTCTAGTGAGATAGATGTTGTTTGCTTTTTTTTAAAATTTTAAATAATAATAAAAAAAATCACTCTACAGATTTTGTATGTCTGTAACAAGTTTGAGCATCAAAGTGTGGTGGTGTTGTACTCGCATAGACTGTCATGCTTCAGTGAAGGCTAAAGAGCTTTTCTTGGACTGTGGATCCCATTTTGTGCCAAAGCAGCTGAGGACATCAAAATTTTGTGGCTCATGTGGGAGCTGAAAACAAAAATCAGAAGTTGAAGGTAAAGCAACAGGTCTAGTACAAAGGACTAGCAGTCAACTGAATGGAACTGAGATCCCAGATCTGAATTCACCTAGGTGATGCATAGGTTCAAAGTGTCTTTTAGTTTTCCTGTATTTTAACTGCATCTTTACAAGGTAGATACACCTAATTACTGC